CTCTCCATAACATATCCATGGGAAGGAAATGTTCAGAGTTTGTGTTCAGTGAGGTCCAAAAAGTAATCACAACTAAAAACTATTAGATTCAAATAATAAAAAGAACACTAGATTTTCTTTTCAAAATTCATGAACATTAAATAACTAGTATACAACTATCCAATATTTATACCAAATCTACATCACAAGGTGAATTGTCATAATAATAAAATAATCTTTATTATCCTCAGTTCAAGTTGTGATATATATATAATAGCTTTTAAAATTCCTATGCTTGTTAAGACAACCACTAATTTGTATGTTTTGTTTTTGTTACTATTTTTGTTAATACCAAAAAGTTTAAAAGTTAATAAAAATTAAGAGTCTGCATTAGAAAATATAGGCAATTTAGGGATAATATAAAGGATGAGAACATCACATGCTACAACCAAAGAAAATCTTGAACTGTTATTTCCTTTTTCTGTTATCTTAAGATATTCCCTCTTTGGGCTAATTCAAAAAAACTAGAATATAAGAAGTGTTCTCCAAAATACAAAACACAACAGCTGAAGCAAATGCTAAAGGTTAAAAATATATATATATTAAACAATTTGCGCAAGGTTTACTTGGAAAAAAGATGGAGAACCAGAAATCTGGCTCTAGAATCACCCTTTATCTTACTGCCCTCTACTCGAGGAAAGCAAACTTCTGCCAATGTCATTTACTACTTTTTCTAATCCCTCTAACACTAGGCAAAAACACAAATGCTTTTCTGCAATATATTATATATAATTAATCATTTTCTTATAAACTCTAGATGGTCATTAAGTTCCCCTGATATTTAAATACAGACATTTCCATAAAATTTTTTAATCAAATAGAAAAGGCATATAATACCTTTAAAGCTGAGAGAATATGTTAATTTGCAGTTTTACAATATGCCATTAATTTGTAAGCAATTCACTGAGATTTATGACAATTTGAGATGCTAAAAATCAGGAATAGTAAATCATAAATAAAGCCATAAATCAGATTAAATCAACCTAAACAACATCAACAGTTCTAGGAAAACTGCCAAATGGTGGTAAAGTCACACTATAGTATAGCAGCCCCTTGTTATGACTGGTTGATATTCCTGATGCTCTTTTTTGTTACCTACCACTTTCACTTCTGACCACTCATATATTCCAAATCACTGTATGAGATTTCTAACCACCACTAGAGAATTCTCACAGGTAAAATAGTTGCCAATGATATATACACAACTCTGCCACTGCTTATTTCTGTTGGAAAAAATGGAAACTTCCAATATTTAATGTTTCTACAATATGCTTTATTTTGACTGTTTGAAACCAAAAATACCTTTAATAGTTAAATTTACTAAATCATATGCATTCAAATGTCTAACTTATTTTTTCTTCTCTATCAATTTATAGCTGCATGCTATAGAACAAATCCCTTCATCTTGTTTGATATGACCAATGCGCAATGCTTGATCTTACCAATACCTCAAAATATACAACCCTATGATATGTTTATCCCTTCCTTAATTTAAACATTTGCAATATTTTTGCTTAGATGCAAAAATGTATTCAGCAATTGATATATACCCTATAAAACAAGTGTGAGAGCTTCTCTAAAAAAAAGGCAAAATATCAATTTGGTAGTATTGATAATGTGTTCATAATTAGAATCAAAAACAAGTGTAAACCCATTATTATGCAACTTTTAAAATAAAACATTGAATCAAGCCGCAATTAGAGGCAGTTACAACACTAGTTCTGGCAATTTTAGAAGTTGTGCAAGCTAATATATAATTTCTAAGGACACTCATCAGGTATTTGGAAACCAATTTGTATGAAATATAAAGGATTTTCTTAGATAAAAGATTTTATTTTTTTCATCAGAACTTACATTAGGAAAGATTATGGAGGATTGGGTCAAGATGGGGTTCTCTGTTTTACTCCCAGAAGGATAATATGAATGTTATTTAGAAGGCTGCTAAACCCACAGGGTCCTGTGACTTGGGGTGATGCTATGGTGTGGAGTCAAGCATGGGCTGCATTAGAAAACACACAGAGTTAAGTCAGACATCATTAAACAAGATGTGGATCGAGAGGAATGCCTGTAGGCTATGCTCTGGGACGAGGAGGCTACCACACAAATTTCAGGGCTGCATACTTAAGACAGTGGCAGGAGAGAGCTGAGCAATGTGGAGCCACCCAGTCTTGACTTAAGGGATTCTTGGGTAGAGCAACTGTGATACTCCCAAAAGGCCAGGTCCCCAGTGAAGAGAACATGTAAGTGAATTGGGCTGCAATTCCCCTTCCCCATCCCTGGGGACTAGTAATGACCTCAGGAAGCACACTGACTGCATGCAGACACCCATGTCTGGAACCGTAGAGGAGGGATATCCACAATGTCACACACAAAAGCTAGGCAATCCTAAGAAATTCCCAACAATAACTAGACCATTCCAAACCCACCTTCTACTCCCAAACCCTGATGCATCAACTGCCAGATGAGGTCTCCCAAGCAATGGAAGAGGGGAAGCCAAAAAAAAAAAAAAAAAAAACCAAAAAAACCCCTAAACCGCAGCACCGCCTGCTGTAAAAGTAGAAGTAATGCAAATTGTTATGTAACTACTACATATACTTTAAAAAAAAAAAAAAACAGGGACATCTAAGCCACAAAATGAGTAGACAAAAAATACAGCATATGGCACATAAATCAACAAGGGAATATGTCATCACAAGAATGAACAATTCTCCAGAATCCAATCCCAAAGACTTTATTGTCCTAGAAAATAAAGAATTCAAAACTACCATGAAAAAGGAATTCAAAGAAATGGAAGAAAATGCAGAAAAGCAAGTCAAAGAGATAGAAAATAACTCTGCAAACAAAGAGGGATAATAAAATTTAGAAAAAGAATGTAATGAGAAATAAAATTAATGAACAAGAACTAGAAATTGAAACTTTAAATAAAAAAAATAACAGTTGTAGAAAATAGAAGGTCATTAGAGGAGATACAAAATTCTGACAAAAGCTATGGAAGTATAATAGACCAAATGGAGGTTCAAAATAGTGACCACCATATAATAATGCAATGGACCCAGATGGAAGAGACAAATACAAAAGATAAAATGAAGAAACACTTTCAGAACTACCCAACAACATTAGGAGAGGCAACAAAGATATTGGGTATTCCAGAAGGATGAGATAGAGGGATCAGAGAACATATTTGAAGAAATAGAGGAAAACTTAACCAAACATTCAGGAGGAACCAAATATGTAAGTCCATGAACTAGAGAGAATATCTAGAATATCTACATGCAATAAGACCTACACCAAAAATACAGTTGTGAAACTATCAAGAGTTCAAAACAAAATGGCTACAGAAAAAAAAAAAAAAAACAAACAGGTAATCAATAAAGGTACTCCCATCAGGCTTTCATCAGACTTCTCTGAGGAAACCTATGAGCAAGGAGAGAATGAAATGATGTATTTTAAATACTCAAACATGAAAATTTCCAGCTAAGAATGCCAGACCCAGGCAAGACTCTCCTTCAGATATGAGGGAGAAATATAGGCCTTCCCAGTCAAACAAAAGTTGAAGGAATTTGCAAACACTAGACATCTCTTATAAGGAATGTTGAAAGTAACTCTCCTAGCTAATTCAAAGAGAATACACACACACACACACACACACACACACAGAATAAGGAAATGAATAAAAATAAAATTAAAGAAAGCTGGAAGCAGTAAATTCTCACCCATCAATAATTACCCTAAATATAAACTGACGAAACCAATCAAAAGGCACAGAGTGGCTGGTTGGAACCAACTTTATATTGTCTCCCAAAGACCCATCTAAACTCCAAAGATAAATATAGGCTCAACATAAATGGTTGAAAACAGTCTTTTAAGCAATGGGAGCCAAAAAACCACAGGAGCAATGATACTTATATTAGATAAAATAGACTTCCAGGCTAAAAGGTAATAAAAGGCAGATGGACAATATATATTAAGGGATTGATGTATCAGGAAGACACACACACACCCCCCCCCAAGTGAAGCAGCATCAAAATATATAAGGCAAATACATATACATATATACACACACACATACACAAAAAAAAAGTGTCAACAAATTCATGAAGATTGAAATCATATCAACTGTCTTCTCTGATGACAATGGTATAAACAAGAAATCAACACCAAGGAACAGTGTGAGGGGGCAAAAACAACCTCTAGACCAATAGCCTCTTTACAGCTGGTTCCTCCAGGTCCAGAACCTGTCACACTGCTGTCATAACCATGACCAAGAGAAAGGCTGAAGGGGGTGCTAAAGGAGATAAAGCCAAAGTGAAAGATGAACCACAGCGAAGATACACAAGGTTATCTGCTAAATCTGTTCCTCCAAAGAAAGAGGCTAAGCCTAAAAAGTCCCTGCAATGGAGAAAGAAAAGGTACCAAAAGGAAAAGTTAAAGCTGATGCTGGCAAAAAAAGAAATAATCCTACAGAAAATAGTGGTGCCAAAACAGATGAGGTACAAAAAGCTGAAGGTGCTAGAAATGCAAGTGAAGTGTGTGGATTTTTGATAACCATGTACTGCACAGGACTGTACAATTTGAAATACTATTTGTACCAAGTTTTATAAAAGTGCAGAATTTTGTCTTACTTTTTAAAGTTACACAATTAGCACAATGAACATTAATTGTTGTTTGGGGGATGAGCATATGTCACTAACAGAATGTCTGTGAAGCTGAACTGCTGGTGGGGAGTGGAGGAAACGTCTTCCTTCGAGAGATTTCCTCTTGGTTCCCAAGAGGAGGGAACCACACACTAGCCACCCTGGCACCAACATCTTGTGGTATTAAAAAGTTGAAATAGGGGTAGGAGCGGGTACACACCCCACTTCTGGGGAGCCCAGCGCACGCCCCGGCATCTTGCTGCTTCTTCCCCCTCCCCCCTGCACCCCTCACCACTCCCTCCTTTCCTTTCATTGCCGGCTCCACCTGCTAAAATGAACAGCTCTGATGAGGAGAAGCAGCTGCAGCTCATCACCAGCCTGAAGGAGCAAGCAATAGGCGAATATGAAGACCTTAGAGCAGAGAACCAGAAAACAAAGGAGAAGTGTGACAAAATCAGGCAAGAACGAGATGAAGCGGTTAAAAAATTGGAGGAATTTCATAAAATTTCTCACATGGTCATAGAGGAAGTTAACTTTATGCAGAACCATCTTGAAATAGAGAAGACTTGTCAAGAAAGCGCTGAAGCTTTGGCAACAAAGTTAAATAAAGAAAATAAAACACTGAAAAGAATCAGCATGTTATACATGGCCAAGCTGGGACCAGATGTAATAACTTTAGAAATAAACATCGACCAAGACAATTCCTCTGTGGACCCCGAGGGTGCTGCAGAGACGTGTATCTCAGTCCATTGTCAAAAGCAAATCAAAGAACTTCGAGATCATATCGTATCTGCTCAGGAAGAAAAGAAAAAAACTATCCATTGAACTGGAAAATGTCAAGAGCAAACTGGTAGAAGTAAATGAAGAGGTAAATAAAGTTAAACAAGAAAAAGCTGCTTTAAATTCAGAAGTTCTCAAACAGAAAAGTCTTAGAAAAATGCAATAGAGTGTCCATGTTAGTGGTAGAAGAGTACGAGGAAATGCAAGTAAACCTGGAGCTGGAGAAGGACCTTCAGAAGAAGGCAGAGTCATTTGCACAAGAGATGTTCATTGAACAAAACAAGCTAAAGAGACAAAGGCACCTTCTGCTCCAGAGCTCTGCTCCGGACCAGCAGCTTTTGAAAGCTTTAAATGAAAACACAAAATTCACCCAGCTCCTTGAAGAAGAGAGAATTCAGCATCAACAAAAGGTCAAAGAATTAGAAGGGCAACTAGAAAATGAAACACTCAACAAAGAGATACCAACCTCAACCAGCAACCGGAGCTTCTAGAAGATGATAAAAAAGAATTGGAATCGAAGAATCAGAATTCTGAGGAGAAAGCCAGAAATTTAAAGCATTCTGTTGATGAACTCCAGAAACGAGTGAACCAGTCTGAGAATTCAGTTCCTCCACCACCACCTCCTCCACTGCCACTCCCCACTCCACCTCCCAACCCTATCAGATCCCTCATATGTCCATGATCCGGAAGCGGTCCCACCCCGGCGGCAGTGGTCCTAAGAAAGAAAAGGCAGCTCAGCCAGAAGCAAGTGAAGTCACAGATCTGAAGAGGCAAGCAGTTGAAGAGATGATGGACAGAATTAAAAAGGGAGTTCACCTCAGACCAGTTAATCAGACTACCAGACCCAAGACGAAGCCAGAATCTTCAAAAGGCTCTGAAAGTGCAGTGAATGAACTCAAAGGAATACTGTGGATCAACACCCATCAGAATCTTAATTATCGATATGCAAGTACTTCCCCACCCCCGGCTCTCATGTAGGCAGTTCATCAAGAGGAGTTCTTGTGCCGTTCTTTTGATATGAAAGCTAACATCTTACATCATCACTAACATCATCCTAAGTGATCCAGCACTATATCTTGTTGAAGATGACCACATTAAAAAATATATATTAAAAAAAAAAGGCTGAAATGTTTATATGTCCTCTTCTCCCTCTTTGCCTTCAGCAGAGACTTGACTCCCTTAAGCCAAGAGAAACCTCTAGAGACCTGGCTCCAAAAAAGTAGCTCATCAGTGTGTCAAGAAATTTGGAATTTCCAGTGTCACCATTTGAGATGGCATTCCTCCAAAAAGCAGTGACTGGCCTCCCTGGTGGCACTGGCGGTTCAATGCCACACACTGTGAGGCTGTCTATAGCCTCCGCAGTGCCGGTTTGATCCCGGCCGACCTGGGAGAATCCCACATGGCGTGGCAGATCTCTCCTGTCTCGTCCGCTGCTCCCCTCAGCAGTGTATTTGGTCAGTCTGCCTGTTCTGTTCCCCGCTCTGTCTCTGGTGAATCCTCTCACCCTCGCGCGCATCTGGCCTGTACCTGGTTCTTGTATAAATAAATAAATCTTTGAAAAAAAAAAAAAAAAGCAGTGATTCCTTTTTTCAGATTGTGGATCTTTTCATTTTATTAACTGAAAGTCAGGGTGAGTTTGCCAAAAGTCATTAAACAACATGCTAAGTGTAAAATATCAACCCTCACTCTAAACTTTCCCCATTCAGAGCATCAAATGAAAATTTCATCAGGATATACAGCAGATTTCTAATTTCGGTAGTCCACTTAAGAGTGGAGTTTAAAAGTTGTCATATACTGCTAATTTTCTGCTGGAATACCATGATTGTTTATGAAAAGTTTCTTTAATGAAGCGAGGCGGGGGGGAGGCAAGCACAAAGAAGAAAAAACCTCTAATACGTAGAGACTTACCAACATAATACTGAATAAGTCTGTATAGTTAATGAGGAAACCAAAGGAGAAAAATGAAGGAAAATGAAACCCAAGGAAAAAAATGAAAATGAAGATATGACCTACAGAACCTATGGTACACAGTGCAAACAGTACTTAAGAGGAAAGTATGTATCAAAACAGGCACTTAACATGAAAACACGAGCTCAAGTAACCTAACCTTAAATCTTACAGAACAAATGAAATCAAACACCCATAGGAGGAAATAAAAATTATATCAGAAATAAAATAAAAAAGATTAAAAAAAATGAAAAAAATCACAAAAACAGTCAAAAATGCCATAAAGCCAAAAACTGGTTCTTTGGAAAAAAACTGACTTACCAAAAAAGGGAGAAAATTGCAACAAATAGAACCAGAAGTGAAAAAGAAGTTACAACACACATCTCAAAAACTGAGGATCTAAAAGTGTATTATTAACATCTATATGCCAATAAACTGAATAACCTAGAAGCAATGGAAAAATTCATAGAATATACAACTTTCTGAGACTGAATGAGGAAGAAAGAGAAAACCTGGACAGATACAGAATGAAAATGAAACAGTAATCAAGTTTCCTAAAAACAGAAGTCCAGGACCAGATGGTTTTACTAGTGAGTTCTACCAAACCTTCAAAAAGTAATAGTACCGATCATTCTCAATCTTTCCAAAAAATGAGGAAGAAGACATGCTCCCAAACACATTTTATGGGGCCAACATTACCACGATACCGAAAGCAGACAAGGGCTTAAAAAAAAAAGACCAATATCCCTAATGAACACAGATGCATAAATGCTAAACAAAATATTAGTATTAGAAAACCACATTCAACAATTCATTAAAAAGTTTATATATCATGACCAAGAGGGATCTAGTCCAAGGATGCAAGGATTTTCCAATGTCTGCAAATTGATCAATGTATTAATAATTCACCGTATCAACAAGATAAAAATCTTACATCAATGAACACAGAAAAACCATTTGATAAGATTCCAAATCCATTTATGATGAAAACTCTCAAGAAATGGGAATAGAAGGAACATATCTCCACATAATACAGAACATACAAGAGAAGCCTTTTGCTAACATCATACTCAATGGTGAAAAACTGAAAACTTTTCCTCTAAGATAAGGTACAAGACAAGGAATGCCCACCTTCACCAATACTATGCAACATAATACTGGAAGTCCTAGCTAGAGCAATTAGGCAAGAGAAATAAAAAAGGAATGCAAACTGGGAAAGAAGTAATAAAACTATAACCATCTGTGTATGACATGATAATATTTATAGAAAACCCTGAAGACTCCAAAAAACCTATCAGTAAAGTAGCAGGTTACAAAACCAATTTACAAAAATCAATTACACTCTTATTTACAAACAATGAGAATTAAATTTTTTAAAATTCCATTTACCAGCAAAAAGAATTAAAACCTAGGAGTAAACTCAACAAGGAGGTGAAGCACCTGTACAATGAAAACTGTAAGTCATTGTTAAAAGAAATAAGACACAAAGAAATGAAAAGATACTACCTTGCTCATGGAGTTGAATTAACATTGTTAAAATAGCCATCACACCCAAAGCAAGGTATGGCTTCAATGCAATCCTTATAAGATTCCAATGGCGTTATTCAAAGAAAGGGAACCAACATTACTGAAATGCATATGGAACCACTAAAGGCCCTAAAAAAAAAAAAAAGCCAAAGCAATCCTGACAAAAAAGAGGAAGAATGGTAGTAACACAGACTTCAAAACTATACTACAAAGCTATAGAATAAGAGTACAATTGAGAATAAAAATAGAATAACAGAGTACAATTAAGAGTCCAGAAATAAACTTACTTACATGGACAGTTAATCTATGATAAAGGAGCCCAGTATATACAATGGAGAAAGGAAATTCTCTTCAACAAATGATTGAGAAAATTGGACAGGCACATGCAAAAGAATGAAACTAGACAACTCTCTCACACCATACACAAAAATTAACTCATAATGGATAAAGGCTTGGCTATAAGACCTGCGACCATATAATACAAAGAAGAAAACATGGAAAACACTCCACAACAATGGCTTCAGAGATGTCTTTAGGAATTCAACTCTAATAGCAAGGGAAACGAAAGCAAGAACAAACAAATGGAATACATCAAATTATAGAGGTTTTGCACAGTGAAAAGAAATTCATTAAAGTGGTAAGACACCCTATTAAATGGGAGAAAATAATTGCACTTCACACATCTGATATGCAGGGCTGATATCCAAGGTCTACAAATAACTCATACAATTCAACAACCAAACACATGTGCATACACACACAAAAAAAAAAAATCAAGAATTGGGCAGATGTGCTAAATAGACACTTCTACAAAGACATACAGATGGCCAACAGACACATATAAATGAAGAAAATACTTACCATTACTTCTCATCAAGGAAACCAAATCAAACCCATGATAAGATACCTATGAGAATGATCCTTATCAAAAAGACCAGAAACAACAGTGTTGGCAAAGATGTGAAGAAAAAGGAACCCTCATACACTGTTGGTGGAAATGCAGAATGGGCCAGCCCCTATAGAAAACAGTATAGCGGTTTCTCAAAATATTAAAAATAGATCTACCATATGATCCAGCACATCTTGGTACCTACCCATGGAATGTAAAAACACTAATTTGAAGGGTTATATGTGCTTTTATGCTCAATGCAGCACTATTCACAATAGCCAAGTTATGGAAACAATGTTAAGTGCCCAAGGACACATAAGTGGATTAAGAAGATGTGGAATATATGCACAGTGAAGTATTACTCAGCTATTTATATATAAAGCTTTAGGTAGAGAGATGAACTGCTGTCATTTGCAATAACATGGGTGGAACTGGGAGTAGTAATGCTAAGTAAAATAAGTCAAGAGAAAAACAACCTGATAGCTTCACTCATGTTGAATTTAGGGAAACAAAGTGTTAGACAATGCCAATTCAAAAACTTGAAAAATCTGACTATAAAATTGAGGCTACCAGTAGGAGTAGGGGAAGGGTGGAAAGCAAATCGTAGAGCGGTGTCAATGGACTATAGTGGAAGACTATGGGTGCCTTGATGGTGGTATGGGAACATACATCTAAAGAGGTATGATCTTACCTCTCAAGTACATACACTGTTGCAAACCAGTGTTACCTCAATAAAATAACGAAAGGAAAAAAAAAACACCAAGAATACAGAGATTTTCAATGAGTATGTCAAGATCATTCAATAGGGAAAGAACAGTTTGTTCAACAAATAGTATTAGAACTGATATTCACATGCCAAAGAAGTTTGCCTTTTACACCATGCACAAAAACTGACTCAAAATTAATCATTAAGCATAAACGTAAGAGCTAAAAGTATGAAACTCTTACACAAAAACAAAGGTTACATGTTAATTATCTCAGACTGGCAAGGGATTCTTAGAAACAATATCAAAACAAGAACCACAAAATACAATTTGGACTTAAATTTAACTTTTGTGCTTCAAAGACAACTAAATAGAATATTTATAAATCTTATTCCTGAGTAAAGGACCTATATATAGAATATATAGAAATCTCTTTAAACTCAATAACATAAAATACATATTACCCAATTTAAAAACAAAGGATCTGATATTTCTCCAAAGATATACAAATAAGCAGTAAACACAAATATGTTCATTATCATATAGCTATTAGAGGAATGCAAATCAAAATCAGTGAGATACTTTAAACCCACTAGGATGGCTTGAATTAATAACATGTAAGTATAGTCAAGGATGTGAGAAAGTATAATCCTCATTTACTGCTGGAGGTAATATAAAATGGTGCAGTCGGGGCCTCCCCAGTGGCGCAGCGGTTGAGCGCTGGGTTGCAAAGCTGCCCGCAGCCTCTGTGGTGCCGCTTCCTTCCCCCGCTGCTCCCCGGCCACTGGAGGAGGGTCCCACATGGCGCGCAGACCTCTCCTGCCGCCCGATGCTCCCCTCAGCAGTGTACTTCGGTCCTTCTGCCTGCTCTGCTCCCCGCTCTGGCTCTGGTGAATTCTCTCACCCTCCCGTGCTTCTGACTGTACCCAGTGCATGTATAAACAAAACAAACAAACAAATATATAAATAAAAACATGCCTCTATTTAAAAAAAAAAATGGTGCAGTCACTTTCAGAAACAGTCTGGTAGTTCCTCAAATGATTCAAAATAGTAACT